GATTGAGAATCGACCTTCCCACAAATTATACAGAGTTGTAAAAGCATGCGCTGTGTGCCCAGACCCTGTGACTGTCTCTTGAGAAGGCGTTTCCATAAAAAAAACATCGTTTTTCTCCGAATTATCGTCCGTGCCTACATTTATGTGTCCTCAAGTATTATATAAACTTCCTGACATGCCCTTCTTGTTCACTCTAGTTTTGGTGAAGCCCAAAATTTTCTTTAGGCAGAAATAATAATCTTAATGCAGACAGGAAACCATATGATATGCAAAAAATTGTTGTTGTCAAGGTTTGTATACAAGATTGCGCACAATATTTAATTGTTGTTACTGTCTGTTCGCCACTGCTAGCATTAGAGAGCATACTAATGAGGTAGAATCACCCAGCCTCTACTAACTCTCCTACTTCAGTTTAGTGGCTGTAACCAGCAAACTGGCCAGTGCTTAATTGCTGTAGTTGGCTGCTCGCCACTGTTAGCATTAGGCGCGTATCAGTTAATGTGGTAACGTCAATGGAACCATAATAATAGAAAGATGAAAACACCTTTCTGATGGATGACGTCCTGCATATATCTATTTCTATTAATGTAGTTCCCCGAGAAAAAATGTTCGTTTTTTCACTTCTTTAGAACATAATATTAAAAATGCCAAACATTTCTCGACCTTTCGCCCGTTTAGAACCTACCACATTTTAGACCGCCCTTCCGACTAAGAAAACCTGCATGTTTATGGGTTAGTCTGTTGCAACCACTTATTATTTGAGAGCAACCAAGTTCACTCCAGGTGATGGTTGATCATATACTTTTAAATTTCCGACTTTCTACAATCAGTCGCCTTTTTACAACGGGGAAAGCATACACGAGAACGCTATTGAGCCTTGGATTGTGTCGGATGTCAGTATTTTTTGCGTCTTCTCTTGTCTACTTATTTACCATTTTATCACTTTATAACTCATGGTCATTTATATATACTATATTTTCTCCCATATAGCACGCCATATTGAATATCTTGGGCGGTATAATCAAGATCAAGCCACGTTTTAATTCAATGACATTAAAAGGCAAGGCTCTAGTTTTCGCTGGACTTGTTTGTCTCTTCCACGCCGCCTATTCTGCAGCGCAACGTATGCTTCCTACTTTCAATGAACTATTTTTTAGACCGTTCGTACATCCGGTTGACAGAACAGAATTTTGACTCTCTTCCGCTCGATGTAATGGTGTTTACTTATGACCGTATCCTAGATAATTGCTCAAGCAATTTTGGCTTGCTTTATAGCCATTATCGGTATAATCGACGTAGCTGGGACTTTCAAGGAAATCGACGCAACGGCCGAGCTTCGTGACAAGTACTTCAATCATTTTGCTTAACTTGTTTTAGAACCTGGGATTCATTTGGGAATAGACCCTCGTTTTATATATTCAATCACCGTCTGTCGCCAGTCGACGATTCTTCCTCAAACTAAATGTCTTCGTTACAAACAATTTCTGTATTGACTGGGCCAGATTCAGTTTCCGCCCTTGCGTTGTCAAGTTCTTTACTTGCGTCAGGTTTTGATAATGGCAATGTCTATGTGTGGTCCCCGAACGAAAACACCCCATCCCATCGTTTATTTATTTCATCATCCCCATGTACAGCCCTTCTGTTTAATAAAAATTCCTCTATACTGTATGCAGCACAAGCCGGACTCATCGCGTCATGGGACCTACGCAAAGTCGATGGTCCCGCAGATACATGGCAGGTAGGTTTCGTTTTTGAAGATACCCCCCGAGAACGCATTTAATGTTCCAGAACCTGTTGCCTACATAATTTTTGCATTAGATACCTAGATTGCTTCAAAATGTGTTCTAAGTAAAAGCCAGCCAGTACACCCTGAGGTGTTTTATTTTTTCTACTGGGCCTGGAACAAGACAATCAAATTAGCATACATTACTATGGCTTTGACGCCCTGAATTTCGAGTGGTTGTATTTTATTGCAACAAATGTGGTATTTGATAACGAAGACATTGAATGGAAACTGATGTAAATTGATCATGGTCCGATTGACCTGAGATATGCTCTCCTATTTAACTTTGTTTCAGGCCTCACCAAAATTCCACTATCAGCACCTGGGATTATGCACCTTTTTGGGTTGAAAGCAAATGTCACATATTGACAATGTGACGGTATAAGTGGACCGGCTTTATTGCCTGTAGATATTATTGCAGCTTTTACGTCAGATTAAGGACAAAACTGAAAGGTTAATGCAGCCAGTGTAGCAAATGTCATTTTTGCTCGTAGTAGGTATAAGCACAAATGTATAAATTCATCCGATTTCTGTGCGCTTGGTGGTAAGCATGAAGCCCTATAACACTTGAGCTCAACTATTCCTAATATGCGGTGGTTAAAATTGGGTTCTGCTAATAAAATTGCAGTAAGAGTAAGTATTTTAGTTTACTAATCTTTTCAGAGAGAACTATATGCCGAAATTTATGAACTGGACACAAATATTTGCTCTGGTTTATTTTATACCTGAACCTGTTTGTACTTAGTTACACGTGTTTTTATGTTGTTTTTATTGTTTTTTAAATGTATTGGGAGCATCTAGTGTGGGGCTTTAACCGCGGTTGTTGCATCCGATGAGGGAATAAATCTTGCAGTCAACTCCTGCCATTTAAACGTCATAGACGATTTGTAGTCGCATGCATACTGCACATGATTTAGTTCGACAAAATGAACATGAATTTTTCTACATGCAAAGCCTGCGTACTTGCTATCCTTAAGCCCCTCGTTTCATACAATGTGTGCTGCTCGGGGATGTTTTTCTGTCGGCTGACCGTGCTGATTCTGACGACGGTCAGAAAAGACTGCCCAATCAGTTGCCAGAGCAATGCAGCTCCTTTCTCGATCGGCAACAAAATTATATAATTTGGCAGGACACTGGTGTCGGGCTCCTTATATATTGAATCTTGTAGGTGTTGTAGTCTGCCAGTTTTCTAAATGCTTAGAATACCACTTGATCACAAAAATATCGATGCTTACCGGCTCAAAGGGGGTCCCATGTTCTGCCTTACACCTTTCTACTTCACGTTATTATCGTTTTTTTGTTTAACTGTATGTTATGCTCGCGATGTATTTGAGTCTTCATTATTGTCAGTCAGAGGAGTGTTGTCAACCGTTGGAGTTAGAAATTCTCTCAGGACTCCTATCTGTGCTTCTTTCTATCCACCACTGTAGGTTAGTGAAGATGAACTTAACTCAATGGATCTTTTGGAACATGAAAAACTCTTGGCTGTTGCGGATGACACAGGAGCTGTAAGCATCCTGTCCACCGACTCGGGGAATGTTTTGCGTCTACTAGAGAAACACGAGAACATCTGCTCCGCCGTCAAATTCCGACCAAATCATCCAAATCAACTAATTTCCGCTGGACTCGATTGCCAGCTTTTTCTCAGCGATTGGAAGGAGAATGGGCAAACTCTTTCTGCCTTCCGAATGACTGATCTGATCGACCCCACCGCCTATGCCAGTCTGCTTCATCAGGAAGAAGACGAGGATGCTTTATCTGACAGCGGTGATGAGCTTGCATCTGACTCTGAAAGTGACTGCTCGGACGCGAGCGTTGACAGTCAAGTTCTTCCTGATGGAAAAGAACCCACCAAGAATCAACCATTCGCACCCATCAGGGTTTGTCTTTTAATAATTTATATTTATCCTGCACATATTATATTTCTTAACGTCAACTCCATTAATTTACATGGTAATGAAAATTTCATTTGTATTCATTAGGAGCCCAACTTCAATCAAGTTCATTTTCCGACTTTTTAAAGTTTTTCACTTATCTAATGGCTTAAAAATCTCATTTTTTCCATTCTAGGTAGCTTCTTCATTTAGTCCCTTGGAGAAGCAAGAAATGGTAGCTGCGCGTATGGCTGGCATGGAATTACCGTTGAATATACCCATGATCCATAGTCTGGCCTGCAGCAAAAGTGGCGAACATGTCGTTGCTGGCCTCGAGAGTGGAACCGTTGAAATATTCAGTGGCGAAGATTTGCATTTGAGCCATGCAGAAACTCTCTGTGGGCACAAAAGAGGCGTCGCTGCAGTCCTCTGCTTGGAGGTATTTTTTTCCCTTTTGAGGTCAACTCAAAGATTCCTCATCAATTATTCGGTCAGATTGCACGTAGTCATTCTGTTTCTTCCTAGTCCTCATTACCATTGCATGTGAATAGGGCAGCTGTTGTTTGCATAACACCTTTCTTTGCTGTAATTTATGAAATACCTCTAGGAGGTAGTGGTTGATGTAATGCCCCTAACCGAATTTTGTCGGAGGCTATTCGTTGACCTGGATCATCTAAGTGAGCGAGGCACTGGGGTTGTAGTTAGGAGGAGCGCACAACAAGAAAAAGCAAAGAATCCATTGGATGGAGGCTCATTCCTCAACTATCGTCAGGAGGTTATTCAGCAGAAGCGAATTAATGAAGTATACGGGAAGCGTATTGTGGTCTCTGATAGAACTCTATTGTCATACTACGATGAAACCATTC